TAAGGACTTTTGCAGGTAGAAGGACCTCCTGTCACAGCTAGGACAAGTTGCAAATTCTGGCTGAGGAGGGATCCAAAAGAGAGGGGATTGCAGGATCTGTCAAACAGTTGATGTTTTCTCGTCCTATTTGCTCATCCCAACATGTATAAGTGCTGGTGTAGATGAAACGCTTGGAACTCTCAGGACGAGGGACAATGCAGCAGCCCAGGGTGGCGTGCTGAGCTCCATTGCTAGTTACACAATTTAAGGCTGATGAGGAAGCTGTGGGAAACTTTGATGCAGGTTTTTTGCTGGATGGGAAATGTTTATTCAACTAGGGAGTGGGGACAGCTGAACACTTCTCAGTTCTTACTTACCAATTCTTTGTTTTCTTTTCTAAATACCTAAGACTGAATATGTGATTTGGCAACTGAAAGACCCCTCATCTGATAACAAGTCTGAAGTCATGGTTAAACTAGGCTCTTTTAACTTCTTCTATTCTGTTTTCTTGAATAATTCCCTGTCTCCAGAATACTACTATGGGTTATATAACATTTTTGCCAACATTGCAGTTGGTAGATTATCAAACTGGCTTGCACTGTTGCCTGGGTTGACGTTACCCAACCAACTGCGTATCTAGGAAGAGAAGGAAAGAAGGTCATTCTGAAGCTGCCGTTCACACTAGATTGATTGATTCTAGAGGTTCTGACTTGAGTTTTAGGCCGGTACCTTGATATGATGTGATGAGTTTTAAGCAAAGGACAAATAGTTTGTGTTGCATGCAAGCAGACCCACTGTGAAATGCCTACAAGCTGCTTCAGCAGCAGTAAGGAGGCAACAGTGTCTAGGAGACTTACTGTGAACTGCAGGGAGAGGCTAGGCACTACATTCGTATGTAGTTGCTGGTCTTTGAATTGAATTTTAATGGCCAGCCTCCATTGTGAAAACTGTGGTATAGTTTTCTCCATTATTTCTTTTTCATCCTGGCTAGATAGGCCTACCTTTAACATCTGAGATTGAGCTGTTCAGGTTCACATCCCTCAATAGGTAGCTCTTGCATGTATCCTTTGGAAAATGTCTTTCCTTAAGCTAGCAGATACAGTTCCTAGGGAATGTCAATGCTCACTTTCCATTATGAGCCTCACACTATCATTTTGGCTTACAGTGCAGGAAAATGCTGAGGGATGAAGGGAACAAATAGTAAGTAGATAGAAAACATTTCCCTTTATACCTGTAGCCAGAGGAAATCCCTTGAAGCTCCATTAGATAACCTGGGATCTGAGAATCATATGAACATGGCAGCACTGAGCATATCTAGAGCCACACAGCCATTCCCTGAGCAGGGATGGCTGTTTCTGTCATGATTCTAGCATTTCTCCACTGAATAAAAGCTGATGAGAACTTACTACACTTTATTTGGCAAGTAGTTCAGAAGACTCAGTGGCCATGCACAGCCTGACAGTGTGCTAACCAACTTTGAAGCTTGCTTCAGCATCTTTTCTATCTATACTCCTTCAACCTCTCTAAGGACTTGTCTCCTCTAGGACACTGACATCAAATTCAGGAATGTGCCAATCTCTGTATCTTCCCTGTCTCTGGAAGTGCTCTTCCACCCCCCTTTGCATCTTTCCTCTCAAATATCTCTCCCATTGTCCATAACTACATCCCCTCTGGATCACTATTCTTTGAGAAAGTGCTGTTTTCTTTTTTTAGTTTCTGAGGAAAAGCTTTGAGTTCGGTAGGAAGCTTTCTATAGGAATGTGAACTGTGTGTGCAGGCATATGTGCTCAAAGCTCAGTTTCTAGCTGAGGTACAATCTTGGGAGGTAGGAACCTAGTTGGAGGAAGTAGTTCTGAAGGAGTGGGCTTTAGAATCTATAACTGGTCCCTGGTCCCTTCCACCCTAGATGTTTCCCATCTGACATGAGATAGACACATGCCTCCCATAGGTGTTCCCACCGCCTCACTGTGAGTTTGTCATAACACAAAATCATTATGGCAGCTCAGTCAAGAATAGCTTATTTTGCATCTCCTATAAGCTATCCAGTCAAAGAAAATTTTATGATTAAAGGGATATGAGTTTTAGTAAGTTCATTATTTAAAAATCAAAAGATTGTCTGAGGTGGCCAGTGTATAAAGTACAGCAGAGGGTGGTGGCCATGGGGCCTCTGCAGGAAAGGTAAATATGGAGGACATAGAACTTGGTTGTGATGTTGTCTGCAGCAAATGCCATGGAATATTTTCAACCAGACTTGATAAGATTGTGTCTGGTGTTATGGAGAAGCTGAAGAGAAGAGGTGTAAGTAGGGTGAGGAGACTTCTCTTCTTGGGCATTGACAGAGGCAGTCCACATTCCATTCATCTCACTTGTAGCATGGGTCAGGGGCACAAATGGAGACTCTCTGCCTACCTCAAGCTTCTACCCTTCTGGGGCTCACCCTCTGTCTCTTCTTTCTGTTGTTCATGGCATTCACACACCTACATCCACATGTTCAAGATCCATCAGTTTGACCTCTCTTTCAATCCCCAAATTCCTTGAATACAACTCAACCTGGGTACCTTCACATGGAGTAGTCTGTTGTCAGGAGTCTTCTCCCTTATGGGAGACTACATGGGCCCTGAAGTATATTTCAGGTGAGTCCCAGGTACAGAGAAAACAATATAGAGTCAGAGGGATGGGCAACAGGTGAACATGGATATCAGGTGGTCATTTACCCTTGGCCCTGTGGATTTGTGCCCTTGCTGTGAAGCAAGTTTAGAGTGGGGTTCTTTGTCATAGAAGCATGTGGTTTCTATGGAAATGAAGACCCAGAGTCCTGGACTTAAGGGTGGCATAACACAAAGAGCCAAAATTTCATCTTAGGAGCAATTATCTTTTCACTAATGTATAGGGAAATCACAGAAAAAATTTACATCATGCTCATGTATGAGGCAGACAAACAGTGATCAAGGCCCAAATGCCCTCACACCAGACTCCATGCTCTTCTAAAAGGTCAGTGCAGAAGAAAGAACCCTGGCTTCTTTTTACACACTCTCCTTTTGATTGACTTAGATGTTAAGAAACAAATTTTTCTTTTATCTATCTTAAGAAATTCAAGAATTCTTCCAAAAGATGAACAAACTCCTATGAACTTATTCATTACATCCTTTGTGCAAAACATTCCCTGCACTGTCTCCACATACCAGTTTATATTTTCCTTAATGAAACCATTGTATTAAGTATATAGCATATGCGTGTGCTCGTGTATGTATAGTCATGTACACGTGTGTATGATGTAAAGGGGAACAGAGAGCAAGAGTGAGTAGATGAAAATTATTTGGGAAAAGAAATGACCTCTTTAGTCTCTGTGATAATTTGAATGGTTCCATAAGCTCATATATTTGAATGCTTGGCCCCTGCTTGGCAAAACTGTTTTGGGAAAGAGTAGGAAGTATGGCCTTGTTGGAAGAGGCCTTGTTAGTGTCACTGGGGGTGGGCTTTGAGGTTTCAAAGGCTCAAACCAGGCCCAGTATCTCTGTCTGCCTGCAACTTACGCATCACGAGCTCTAAACTACTGCTCCAGTGCCACACCTACCTGCCTGCCGCCAATACTTCCCACCTTGGTGGTCATGGACTAACTACCTGAAACTGTAAGCAAGCCCTGATTAAGTGCTTCCTTTTAAAAGCATTTGTGATGGTTTTACATCACTGCAATAGAACAAAGACAGCCTCCTTTCTCATTTGTCTAGTAGGATTACAGGGCTGAAGATCAAGGAAGGGGAATTCTAATACCGAAACCTTCCAACTTCCCAATAAGCCACGCATCTTGCCTCTGTTCAAGTTTCAGGGGTTAGAGCATCAAACCAGATGAAATGGAAGCAGGACACTGAGAAGCAAAGGGAGCTGGGAGTGCGAGCAAGGTCTTTATGATTTTCTGCCACCATCCCTGCTTCTTTGTCATCCGAGAAGCTGAGTGGGGCACTAGAACAGCCCTGGGCAACAGGGAAGTGGAGGCCTGGATTGCAGAGCATTGCTTAGAGGATGGATGCTCCCGCTGGTACCAGGACAGCCTGCTGCTTCTATATCTGGAAGTGCTTTTGAAGGAGAGGACGTCCTTCCAAGAACTTTGAATCTTTTTAATTGTATGCTCCTCTCACCAACTTGGTTCTCCATCTAGGTGTATATTTATCTCGAGTTATGCTTCACCTTTCGCATTCTGTGGTGATCACTCAACTTTGTGTTTCCTGGTCAATGTCCCTGATCTCTCACAAGCTGCCTTCCAGACCGCCTCCGAATTCCAACATGGAGCTCCACTTCAGCAGACAGGATCTTTGTTTTCAAAGGGTTCTGCAAGGATCATGGTAGCACTCAAAAATGAAATTATTCCAAAGATTCTAAAGAAAAAGAATGAGTATTTTTTTTCTTGCATCTTAGTCTGGGCCTCTTATTTTAGAAGCTCAAAGACTAAGCTTTTTTATATCTTCTCCTTCATATTTATTTTCATAAAAATGAAAATACTAAGAAAAAAATGAAAATTAAATTCAGACTTGCTAACCATTTGCTACCGAGTATTTTAAATGTCTGTGAATTTCATGTCTCTTACTGTTGGAATAAACTTAATGACACATATCTTACAAGGCTGTGAAGCTTCAGATAAATGACATAGATGCCTATGAAAGCCCAAGCAGAGCTCTGATGAATACCTCACATATTTTAACACATATGCTGGTTTTCAGTTTTGACTCTCTTCTAGTCATCATGTGCACAAAATATATGGAGCACATCAAGTAGTGATACTACATATTGGAGAGAGGGATGGTAGACTCCTGCCATGCACAGGTATATTAGTGAAAATGATATATGTAGGGGTCACTAGCTCTTAGCTCATGATAGGGTAATAAATATCTGTTTGGTGGAACTTGATTCTTCTATTTTTATACTCTAACGAAGGAAGATGAATCTAATAAAGATTCATCTTGTTCATTTAGAACTGAAATCTTTAATTTCACACTTACCTCTTTTTTCCTTGTGTGTTTCTGCAGACCTCATATAGCAAATCATTGGAGGGAGAACGCTCTGAAACTATGGAATCCTTGAGTGACAATCTGGGTGACCCATCAATATGGTGAGTGGGTAGACCTCTCCTCTCTCTTCCTCTGCAGGATGACTCAGGGAAGCTGCCTGACACTAGCCAGGAAAGAAATAGTGGATTCCAAACAAGAGACTGAGACGGTGGTGCTGAGTCCACTGTGAGCAGAAGTTGGGGCTCAAGTGATGGTGACGGGAAATGGATATGGCCTTAGTGAGATGGCTGCAAAGGGAAAGCTGGTGTGGATGCAGTGTATTGTGGAGGGTGCAGGACCACGGTTTCCTGAAGATTCAGCACAGTTCTGTGGGGATTTGAGTGGGCAGTGGTGGTGGGTAACACAGGGGACTTTATGGCTCCTTAGCAGCATCTGTGGAGACATCAGACAAAAGGACTGTCTTTTTGATGTCCTGTCAGAATCATTCAATTTCTTTTCTTATGTGGAATTTTGAAGCTCTAAGCCACTTGAATATTTTAAAGCAGCCATTAAGAGGAGGAAACTGCATATTCTAGTAATTTGGCCCTGTGGCTTAAGACGGTTACTTGGGGACATTGGATATCGGTTGGATCTTAACGTTGTGGAGTGGGTTGTATTAATACCCCATTTTGTTTTAATTTGTCCATGTCCTTTTATTCCTTATTGGGACAAAAGGCAACAGACTGCAGGATGGGATATATGGCATGCAGAGCAGACTGGGGGAGTAGGATGTGTTCTCTCTTAGTGCTGCCTTTCCAGCGCCGGCCGGGGGTTATGACCCGAGCTCTTGGCTTCGGCTGAGTATTACTCTTTCAGAACACGTGCACTCTCTGGCACATCTCAGGGCCAGCACATTCAAAGGAAAGGCTTTTTTTCTTTATACAGAAACCAAATGGTGTTGCTAGCATACCCTTTTCTATCAGATTGCACGTTGCCCTGTCTTATTCGGGGTATTTGTGGTGCTATCATTAACTATACCGAATCTTCCAGGGAGGCAGTATCTGAAACACATATAAAGTGGAGTTATTTTGTGAATCAATTATTAGGCTACAAATAATGTTGGATAGGAGGGGAGAAAGGACACCTCCCTACAAAGAGAGTATCAATTGAAAGTGTGGCGAAGCAGGGATGGTTTTTGTTGCTTTGGGGCATAATGAATGATTCTATTTTGCAACTGTTTCTAAAATGTAAGCGTTTTCAAACCAGTGTTGCAGTGTTTGGTCTCGGGAGAACAGTGAGGATTTCTAAAGATAGTTTTACTTCCCAAGTACAAATTGTTCGAAGAACATTGTGTCCTGTAAGCTGAGCTGGACAGTTGTGCCCTGTGAGAAGAGCTTGGAGTTGATAGGATTTGGTGTCAATGATGCTATCCTAATTTGTTATGTGACCGTGGTCAAGTCACTAAATGGTTTTGTTCTTTTTGGTTTGTATTTCTTTATTTTAATCTGTTTAATATGAGGTCTGTATGGCCCAAAGTCCTTTCCAGACTTTGACAAATATCTGTACCATGGGAAAGATGTTCTTTGGGGGGAGATTTGTGATTGTCACTTATGCCTCTGAGTTGAGGATTTTTGAATGCTCTGCTCATCCTTACCTTCCTGAAAGCTTTGGGTGAGTTTTAAGCAATGGTGGAATTGCAGGCCCATGTACTGGGCTTTAAAGTACATATTGGTGGAGCAAGACAGAAGGGTTGTTTATGGTGTGCTAGCTGGCTGATTAGATCCTGTGGGAGTGGACAACCATGGAAGGTATGTGCTCTGAGCTGGGGCATGAAGACACATAGCTATCCCTTAAGGATTGAGAATCTCTTTACCATCTCTGCTTGGGATCTCAGTGAGGTTGTGAGCCAAGCATCCTTAGAAATGTGAGATTTCAAAATTTCAATGAAAGGAACCCAGAGGGGGGAAAACATTCATATTTACTAATTCCTTCTGTGATTTGAATACAGCTCCTGGCTTTTAAATACAAGATTATACTTAATTCTTGTAATATATCTTTGAAATAATTCTAACTGAGATACCCACGCTATGGATAGGTGAACTGAAGTTTAGAGAATTAATGTAAATTGCTCAGTGTCACTCAACAGAGAGAGGAGTGTTGGGTGGAATTAAGTGGATGCCAATCCTTAGCTTTCGCTCTACTCCAGTATGTTTCTAGTCTTTTCCTCTTTTTTAATGACCCACTTTCTCCCGTTATTATTACTCCCCTTATTCTGGTCTCCTCTGCGCTCAGAGATTAACGTCCCTGAATCTCTCCCTACCTCTGCACCCCTCATCCCCCAGCTGCTACACTATTCCTGGTTTAGCTGGCTGACCAAAAAATCCATTAAACTTATTGCCGTCAGTGCTGTTTTACTCAGCATAAAGTCCGCATTTTATAGGGATTCTCAGGTTCCTCAGAAATCCAGATGTTGTGGTTGTGGCTATCCTCAGCAAACCTTGATAACAGTTCCTCTCAGGGAGTCCAGAGAACATATTTTTACTGATGACTGAGAAAAAAGTCTCATAGTTAGTAATGGTATATATATATATATATATATATATATATATATATATATATATATATATATATGGAAGTATGCACAGAAAAGAGATTCCTCTGCCCTCTGAAGGGGAAATACATAAATTTCCCTCTTGAGCACATAACAGGATTCGTCCTGTAACAATATATACTAATTAATTTCACTGTTGAGCTAGAACACACTTTATCAAATTGCATTTGGGTGGAAAACCATAGACTTTGGTCTATATAAGGCATGGGATTTAAATAAACCAGTTTTCCATATTCACAATCTTGTTCTATTTTTTTTGAGTAGTGTGGTATAGATATGAAAAGTATTGGGTTTTCATTTTTCTTTAAGCTAAAGTATCTGAATGTAGACTTTTGATTTATACACTTCCTTCACCAAGAAAGATGAAGACTAGAAAGAAAATCTCTAACAACCTTGTCTAAATGACTGCTTTTGACAGAAAGCAGGAGAATATCTTCATGGTTGATTTCCCCTCCCTTCCAACACTGTTAACAGGGTAGTCTACATTCAAGAGCACATTTTCCATGGTAAAGGGGCAAGTCTGTAAGCACAGAAATACCTGGAAGGGCAGCGTCCTACCTATGACCTCTGTGCTGGACAATTTTTATGTCAACTTAATACAATCTAGAGTCATATAAGAGGAGGGAACCTTGAACTTTTATCATTCTTCATGGATAAAATGCCTCCATAAGATTGGGCTGTGTGCAAGCTCTTAGGGCATTTTCTTAATTAGTCATTGGTGTAGGAGTGTCCAGTCGATTATGGGTGGTGCCATCCTTGGGGTGGTGGTCCTGGGTTCTATAAAAAAGAAGGATGAACAAGCTGTGAGGGACAAGCCAGTAGGCAGCATTCCTCCATGGCCTTTGCATTAGCTCCTGCCTCCAGGTTCTTGCCCTGCTTGAGTTCCTGTCCTGACTTCCTTTAGTGATGAACAGTGATGTGGAAGCAAAAGTAAAATAAGTCCTTTCCTCCCCAACTTGCTTTTGGTCATGGTGCTTCATCACAGCAATCGTTACCTTAACCAAGAAAGCCTTTTTATTGAGTTCCCATGATCCAATTTCACATTCTTTTCACCCATCAAAATCTCCTAGAAAGACTACTGAAGCACTGGCTATTAGATTTTATCCACATTTTCAGGAAGTCTGGGATGTACATTGCTAGCAAGTTTCTAGGTAGAGCCATGCTGCTGTCATGGCAATCCCACTGGAGAGATAATGATGCTCTGGTCTACATTCATGAGGCATCCAGAGCAATTCCCTCCCTTTTACCTTCACTTCCTCTCTCCCTCTCCCTCTCCTCCCTCCCTCCATTTCTCCCTCCCTCCGTCTCTCTCTCTCTCCCTCCCTTCTGTCCTTCCTCTCTCTGTCTGTCTGTCTCTGTATCTTTCTTTTTGTCTCTCGGTGTTTCTTTTGTGGCATGTGTAAGTATGTGTGTATTCAGGTGTGCAGACTTGCACGTGTGTGTGTGTAGAGGTTGAAAATCAACAATGAATGTCTTCCTCTTCATCTAATATTTTTTTGAGGCCAGGTCTCTCACTGAACCTGGAGCTTAACCTCTGGGCTAGAATGACTAGCAAGTCCCTAGGATCAGCCTGTCTTTGTTCTCCAGGGCTGGGGTCACAAATATGCACTGTCACATCTATCCTTTTATGTGTGTTCTGGGGATCCTCATGATTTTGTAGCAAGTTCTTTAATCACTTGGACACCCCTACCCTTAACCAGAGTAATACTGAAACATAGAAACCAGATCACACTGTTTTCTCAGATCTCTTCAGTGCATGTCAATGTGCGTACCCAGGAGGAATGTGTTGGTAAGGTGACAGGGCTTCAGGGCTAGTTGAGATCCTAGCATAATTACCAGTAGAAGCCTTTTTATTTTTTCTGTTTTGATGTTGGGAATGGAGCTGAGGGTGTTGCATATGTGATGTTCTTGTGGGCACACACCCAGGCCATATGTTATCATTGGTGACTGCCCTACTCTCTCAGAAGGATCTGTTTGGATAGTGCATTATATTGATTGCTATGGTATTGATATTGCAGATTAAGCTCATGCTGTTAACTTGACTTTCTAGAATTCTTTAGAGCAGCACTGCAATTGTGAAAATGAGCTTTTCTGCACTGATTAAAGATCTCTGTATCTGTGCATAGAGTCAAGGGTCCTATGTGATTCCTGATCACTTTGATGTATGGCTAGTGTCTTAAACATGGCTGAGAAGCTAAGTTTCAGATCATATATAGTTTTAATTTCATGTAAAGTATATGAGAGCACATGCAGCTATGAAGTATATGAAGTATATGTGGCCATCTATGGACCAGGGTACACTTGTCTCCACGTTTAAGCCTCCAGAGTTATTTTCAGTTCCCAGAACTTCCTGGCATTCAGGTTCTCTTTAAATCCACTAAAACTTCTCTCTTGGAAAACCTGGTAGCTCACTGGCTCATCTTACCAATAGTCCCCAGACACACACATACAATCTCTGCCATGTTAGCAGTCAGAGTGGGGACGGCTGAGAGCAAAAAGATGGCATAACAGACCTGGCAGCTGAAGATGAGTCACATCTACAGGCTTTGGGCACAGGAGGACCAGAGGCAGGGCATCTCCTGTAAGCTTCAGCTCTAGGGACCACAAAAAGCAGTATCGCTCTGGTGGAGATGGGGCAGTACATGTTCAAAGAATCTCATAGACAGTGCCAGTGACTTAGGGAACATCTAGAAGCCCAGTGACAGCATTCACTTCAAAACCCCTGGGTCTTCTTGTAAAGGGGTCTTTACTGAAGGAAGATCAGCCCGCAGGAGCATGCTTAAGTATATCTCTCTGGCCACTGGAAGTGAAGGAATTGAAGAAGTTGGACTAAGGCTTCAGATAGATGGTTCTAGAGTCTTGATGGAATAGTCTGCTTTTCATGTATTACCTAGGCTAGATCTTCAAGGCCCTGTTGCCCTCCTTAGGCTCAACCCATGGGAGTCTTTGATTCCACTGGCTCTTTAGGTAATGTTGGGTCAGACCCTGGGTTCTGTGCCTGTATCCTGAAAGCCATCTTGGAGAGTAGAAGGAGCAGGGACCTTGCCATTTTATTGTTCAGGGTCATTAAGATTCCCTGCTATGGTTCAGCTGGAAATAAAAGGAAGACTAGACTAATTTAAAATCTAGATAGAAATCATCACCTGTTAGAAAGTGAGGAACTAGAAATCCAATGGAAAAATACATTTGCCTGGGCATCTGAATGAGGCAAGTCTGGCTACAGAAGAAGGAGTAGCTAGAAGGCTTCCTGGAACAGGATAAACAGGCCATTTTGGTGCATAGGATTTCAATATCCTGAAGAACAAAACTTGTGGCATGGGCATTCACTTTTCCCCTTGGTGCCAAGGCTTTATTAGAGCAATCCAAAGAAATCTCAGCAAGAAAGGGACAGCAGAGGATGAAGGTCTCAAAGAATCTGATGCCCAGTGTCCATCCTCTTGATTCCCACAGATCCTCTCACTTGAAAGTATTTTTACGGGAGAATCTCTCTGTCCCTTCCTCTCCCTAAAACAAATAAATAAACCCCACGACCAAAAAGAAGATAGATACTGATCCAGTGTAGAACAAGAATGTCCAGAGAGTCGAGGGCAGAGATAGTCCTCTCATGGGTGATAGCCAGACCATAAGGACAATGATGGTCTCAGAAGATGGCATAGATGCAGAAAGCTCCTCTTCCAGCTGTTGTCATGATGGCATAGATCCAGAAAGCTCCTCTTCCAGCTGTTGTCGTTTTTAAAATGACAGCAAGCATTGAATGATGTTTTTTCAGAGACTGAAAACCACTAGACAACAATTTATCAGAACAAGCTCTCACTGCTAAGCTTGCAACAGTGTTTCCGTTTGTCTTGGTGACCATGAAGAGGAAGAGCTAGCTAGATACATAGGGGATTGTACCGCCACTATGGTAATTTTAAAGACTGGAAGGTGGGAACAGGGGGCACAAATAACTTCTCTTTTATCCACGGTTCTGATTCCTCTGAACAAGCTACATGTACTAAAATTGAGCTGGAGTCTATAAAATGAGAGCTGGGAGTTATGTATCTTTAAGAGATTTGGATATGACTACTAAGAGAACTGAACTGAGTGGTTATAAAAGTGTGGTATGTTCCTATGGTGGAATATTACTTAACTTTGTAAAGAAAAAAATTCTAGCACATACAACACTATGTAGAGACTTTTATGGTATTGTATGAAGTTAAATAATCTAATTATGAAAGGACACATTCTATGTGATCCCACTCACGTGGGAGTCTGTAGAAGTCAAATTTATGCAAAATGCCAGGAGACAAGCAGAATTGGCAGTTACCAGAGGCTGAACAGGGGGCATGAGTTATTGAGTGGACAAGTTTCAGTTGAGGAAAATGAAAACATTGTGGAGCTTTGGGGCACAGAAATGTGAACATATTTATAAGTGGTGGTAAATAGTTTTATGTTTTTCTCTCTCTTTTTTTAAACTGTAATAAAAATTTCAGAGATGTAGCAATTCTGCAAAATCTTTGACCTCTTAAAATTTGGTTCGTTTACTTATGGAGATTTTTTAAAATTTTTTTATTTTTATTTTTATTTTTTGTTTTTCAAGACAGGGTTTCTCTGTGTAACTTTTCGCCTTCCTTTCCTGGAACTCACTCTGTAGCCCAGGCTGGCCTTGAACTCAGAGAGATCCACCTGCCTCTGCCTCCCAAGTGCTGGGATTAAAGGTGTGTGCCACCACTGCCCAGCTACTTATGGATTTTATTGTTGCTGTTGTTTGCTTATTTTGGTGGCTCTGAGACATCAACACAGACATTGTGCATGTTAGGTAAACATGTTACCACTGAGCTGAACCCCTAATCTGAAATTTTAACGACTAGAAATTTCCATTGAGTTGGTCTCATGGCTTCTACTCAAAGGTCTTCCTACAGAAAAAAGAAAGCAATGTTATGTTTGTTTTCTCTTCTTTGTGTTTTTAGGTTGTAAGTTTATATAATAACTTTTTGGTGAGAAAGAAAATTTGTTTTGAGCACCTGCTTGCCTCTGAACTGCATCTGGACCTTCCACAATGTTCTCTTTTAACATTCATAATGGCTGCCCAGCTCAACTCATGGATAAGTAAAATCGAGGGTGAGGAGAGGGTCGGCCATTTGGTGATTCTAAAAGGATTATCAACCAAGAACGTCCACAGCTTTAGGAGTTTCTATTTCCAGATACATTTTCCAGGGTGGTCCATGTTTTAACTTGAGTAAACAAGGCCACTAGGAAGCAGTTGCCCATCTGTGAATGGTCCTCCTGCATTTATAGATGTGAGTGAGACTCAGGGAAGTTCACTGTCATGTCCAAGGTTGTTCAGCCATTTAACACCAAAGTGAGCACCGGGCACCAATTTGTTATTTCCAATTTGTCTTATTTGCCATTCTGACTTTGGGGGGGGGGGGAAATACAGATCACATTTAAGTGGAAAATGTACTTCTTTTCTCTTTATTATGTTCTTCTATTTTATTTATTTAGTACAGGGCCTTATGCATCTCAGGCTTTGTAGCCAAGAGTGTTTTTAAATTTCTGATCCTTCTGCTTATAGCTCCCGAGTCTAAGAATTGCAAGCATGTGCCACCATGTCTGATGTATGCTGAGGATGAAACCCGGGGCTTTGTGCATGCCAGGCAAACACTCTACCAACCAAACTACATTTCCAGGTCAGAAAACACATTTTTGAAGGAGTCAGCTGGATCTAGCACCTTCACAGGAAACATTAGTAAACTTTGGACCTGTTTTATGGGTTGGGTTTCTCTTAAGGCATGCTGTCTTCTAGTGTTATCTAGACGAATAATAAAGAAGAAAAATGATCTCTTCCCTGGATACAATTTCAACTCTCAAAGAGCACATTCCATTAACTTTCTAGGTAGACTGCTTTAGTTTTTTGGGTCAAGGTGATGATAGTATGATGGACGAATACGGAATTATTCTTACTAGCAATGTTTTTATGGTCCCAACAGGCATGTCTGGCTTGTGGGAAGCCACCAACGCCAACACTAGAAGACAGACAGCACAGCCAAAACACGAAGTTCTCGTCTGGGATGACCTGAACATTTTTCTGGTTCCTGCTCTGTCTCATGACTCACTCTTTTGGTTTTTGACAAAATGCCATTGAGTCTCAGAACACAGCCCGCATCAGTGGGAGCTGGAGTACAGGCTCTGCTGCCTCATCCAGCTCCCTGCTCTCCCAAGCTCAGGATGATGAGTGTGTGGACTCTGGGGTACTGCATTGGAGGTAAATGTGGAATCCACAAAAACTGCAACCTTTTCTTCCCTATTCCCTTCTGGAATCATGAAAACATCAGGGTTGGAATCAATACACCATCCATCACAAAGTATCAAACAGAAGAGCTCATAGCTTGAACATAAAGCCTCTCCCCTCTCTCTCTCCTTGGTTTAGCTCTCTCTAAAAGTACCATCAGATGAGGATCCTACTATGAGAAGCCCACTTTCATCTAGCTGGACACATACTTGATTTTACAACACAGGTTGTAAAATGAGTTAACCAAAGTTATTTAGTTAGTTTTCAAAATTGAAAAAAGAAAAAAAAATCTGTCTGTCCCTAAGCTAAGACAGTATCATGATATTGATGGCATATTGAAGTACATCAGTGATTTGAAGCGCACTATTACCCTTATTTCAGAGAAATTAAAACACACACACACACACACACACACACACACACACACACACACACAGCACACAACACACATCATTAACCTCTCTCCTTCCCCCAGCACACAAAGGGTTATACAGACATTAAAATACGGTACATAAAATTCAGCAACTTTCTCTGTGGTTTTCTATGAATATTTACTACTGATGGGCCCTGGAGATTTCCTGTGAGACAACTCTGACCTCTAATCAAAACTTTTATGTGAGGACTGATTTCAACATTATTTAATTTCCTAACCATGGAAAAGGATGTCTACAAAATTTCTCTTCCATCCACCTGGGGTTATATAAGCACATGTTTCCTCCTCACGACCTTTGACCCCAGGACCTCCTGGTGTCTGGGAGGATTCAATGATATTTGTGAGAGGGCTTGCACCTGGATTATCTATTTAAATGTGCAGTTTGGGTCACTCGGTTTTTCGGCTTTATTTAATAATTTAGTCTCTAGGATCAAGAATTAGGCTCTCCCTCACAGACATTTGGGTTTTGATGATTTGACGCAGTGCCCAAAACAGAAACATAAAACTTCTGGATTTTGTCAAGAGACACCCAGTTGCTATATTTTATTTCTCATAATAAGTTTTTCATGCATTTTTTGAGACTGCCCATTCTACCTTCCATCTATGCTCATGTTACCATGGTGTGTTAGCTTCCTGTCACCAGGAAAAATACTTGAGAGAATGAAATTTAAAGAGGAGAAGTTCATCCTGGCTCAGTTTTAGAGGTCCAAGTTCCTGATCGGTGGGTCCTGTTTCTCTTCCATTTAGGAGGAGGCAGTATCATGCAGGGAGTATGTGGCAGTGTGAAACTGCTCACCTTATGGTCAGAAGTGACACTGGCTGGGATCCCATAGTCCCCTTCAAGATCACAGCTCCAGCGACCTAGACATCTCACACTGTGGCCAGGTGAATGGGCCTTACATCTCAAAGTGTCTTGACTCCCAGTACAAGCTGCAGAACGAGCCTTTGCCATGTGGATCTTGGGGGAAGCTTATGTTCTAAATAATAGTACTCGGCAATGTTTGAAACAAGACTCTGGATTTGCTCTTCTAATTCCTCACTCCAAGTTACCCCATGACTCTGTATTTGTGGTGGTGTTTGTGGGGGGAACAGAGGAAAGGGGGATGGCTGATCCCTCGAGACTGTTGTTGTGGCAGAAGAGGAGATTGCTGAAAACATAGGCGATCCCTTCCAAATATTTGATTCTTGTGGAACAAGCCACGGTGGTGTTGGATTTCCCAGACACCCAAAATCAGAGGAACACACACAGCCAGGACGAGAACAGTTCACAGCTGTGTCTGAGGACAGGAGATTCAAGTGGGAGCGAGCTAAAGCGAGTCCTCATTGGCCCAGTCATTGTCCCCAGAGGGTGTGACAGTGTTCTCTGATGGCTCTGCTTCCTGTCAGCCTCACATTTTAAATAACGTAAATGGTACTATAGGCCTTCTTCTGCTTAGAATCCTCAGTGTTGCTATGGACCAAGACTAGGACACCAAAACCTTACAGTGATGTGGTTGTCCCTGCCTCATTCCTCAGCCCTGTCTGTCTGCCACATGCTCACTTCTCTGTAGTCACACTGGCTCGATGCAGGTTTTTGCCTGTGCCAAGTTCTTTCTTGGCAGCAATTCCTTGACCATGTTATTTTTCTTGCCTGGAAAGCTCTTTGTCCTACTAATTCTTTAGGTTTTATCTTAATATCGCTTTCTTGGAAAGGGCATTTCTGTTAGTCTGTTTCACAACCCTGCGTTCTTTCCATTGTCTGGACTGTAATGAGGAATTACATGTTTATTGAGCAAGATGATTAATGTATGCCTTCATCACCAGATACCAACGCTGGGAAAGGTGAGAAGGATTTGTTTTGCTTGCCACTGAACTTCCAAGGATTGGCTTGGGTATCCTGGAGTCAAGATCAAGATGAGCAGCTCAGCCTTCGATCACAGACAGCACAGAGCCAAGTATCCCCAAACCAGAAAACCCGCTTCTGTGGGAGCAAAGCCATACATCAGACACCTGGCAGATAGGACAAGACCATGAAGTTTGTGTGTTCACAATTTAGAGGAGGCGTACAGATACTGGGGAGGCTGATAGCGCCGAATAGGGAGGGCTAAAGCTCTAGCAAGGGGATAGGTAGAATGCAAGGGTACCCACAAGGTGACAGAGAGCAAGCAGGGGCACCCACAAGACCTCAGTGCAGTGATTCGCCTCACAAGGCCCCACTGTGGGCTCCCAGTCATAACTCCAGGCTGATACATTCTGTGCTCCTCTTTTTATAGACTGTCTGGAACATCTGCATTTGATTGCTTACGCTGGCCATGAATGCTCAGTCTGCACCAACTCCCAGCCAGAGCACACTGTGCAAAGGCTGCATGGCAGTCTTTGGTATTCACGGGAAAGTCAAAACCAGAATGGCTTCCTTCTCTTTCCAGAGGCACATAGGTGGATGACAGAACATTCGCACCATTTTAAATTAGATTAAAAGATGCTTGGGCTGAAAAGCCCACACAAGTAATAGAGAGGAAAAAACATCATTCAAGATGGCCTTTACAAAATTACTCCCCCCCCCCTCTCTCTCTTTCTAGGGACTACCCAACCTTATCAGGGAAGAATGAACCAGAAAGACATGGCCTGATATCTTCAAGGGCTGATGAAACGAAGGCTGTGTGAATAAGACATTGTAGACACTTTTGAAATGATTTTCCTCTCTTAGGCAAATGGAACAGCTTTGAATGAATTTATTGATCAACCTTTTTCCTTAAGGGTTTTCCTCAGGTGTTCTTATACTCAGAAAAGTTGTGAAAATCAAGACTAGGTCAGTCCACTTTCCCTCCTGACCCATTTTGCCTAATTCAGTAAGTTTTTCAGTTTTGTTGAGGAATAGAATGCTTTTCTTCATCTAGCACGCATCCCATGCCCTAGGGAATTGTACTCCATATCCGGTTTTCCTTTCCTTCCTCCTTTCATTCCATCCCCTTTCCAGGTGTCTCCAAGAAGTATCCAGCATTTGACAAATCCCAGAGTCCTTTGGGAGGGATATTGAAAACTATTTCCATCTCCCTCTTACAGGAAGATCTCTCTTACACATTCCTCCCTTCTGTCTGAGAGGTAGCCTTTCCTAGAACTTGTCTAGGTGCTCAAAAAGGAATTTCCAGTGTTCTCTCATCCAAGGATAAATTTTTATACTTTTTGTTTAAAAATATTTATTTTTAAAATCTCTATATATCGATGCTTTGCCTGCTTGTAAATCTATGCACATGTGTGCAATGCCTAAGCAGGCCAGAGGAAAGCATTGGTTCCTCAGGAACTGGACTTACAGACAGTTACTAGTTGTCATTTGGGTGCCTAGTACCAAATCTAGAACCAAATCTGGGTCTCCTGCAAGAAGAAGTGTTCAAAATCACCGCATCATCTCTCCAGCCCTGCAAGAATAATTCTTTATTGAAAAAAATCCCCTGTCTATAAAATGGCAACTAAGCTTATAGAACACAATGGTACTCAGAAGTTCTAGTTTCCATCAGCTTAGCTCTCCCAGCTTGGTCTATTTGAGCTGGGACAGAGGGTTTATGGACCATCGCATTGTCAGGCTCTGAAGAGGAGAGGAAATTTAATCAAAAACTCCTTAATAAGCATGTTGTTTCTGTGACAGCTGAGGTCAAACTGGAAATTGCTAACAAGGACTGGCCTAACTGGGTTTTGTTGTCCTGAGGTTATGAAGAGAGAAAAGACTCCCTTTTCTACCTCCTTGTCCTCCATGGTTAGGGGAACCTGGATTCCTTTTCCCTTCAGCTATCTTGGAAGCATCCACAGAAGTAGATAGAATGAAGCATAGCCACTGTTGCCCTTCTAGTTAAGAACTTGGAGACCCAAGGGAGTGCTGTGTCATTAATGGTTAGAGAAGAAATACCCACCAGGTAGCAAGAGCTCGATACTGGAAGCTCAGAGGTGCATCAGACCTCCCAAGTTCTTGCCGATGGGCTTAGAAGATGATAGGCTGGAATGTGCAATGTTTTGTGAAAGCAGTTATTTGTGATAAAATGCTCTCACCAGGACACTTTCAGAACAATTTAAAGGAAAAGCCTTAGGAGGCCATATTCATAGGCATTATTCAGTCTTGAAGCCAATATTTTAAAAACTCATTTAAAGAAGTTTGAAGAACCAATCTTTAGCAAGTTTGGAGTGGAGTGAGACTAAATATAAAAAGGGGACTGGGGGGGAGGGTCAGCCTGAAAGGAAGGCAGAGCACTCCAGAAGCACGCGGCGTCACGGGCTTCTCTCTGCTGTTTCTATGATGCAAGTGAGCTGTTAGGCTTCCACAGGCACCCAGAGAGCTTTTTATCATCTAACATTTGAGATCCCCTAAGACTTTCACGGGTACAAGGTGGGTGCTCAAATAATGCTGCTGAATGGAAACACGCCCGAGGGGAGGGGAGACAAGGCAGAGGAAAGGGAGTGAGGACCTGGCTGTGCCTTCTGAAGCCCACTGGGCATAATGACCTGATCTGTGACTTATGACTGAGAGGTCCAAGAAGTGAGGAGGAACATACAAATATTTTAAAAGGTTAAAAGCAGATACTTAAATATCAGACACAGTTTAACAAGGAATCTCGAAACTTGGTAAGATCTTTAGGGGGATTCAAGAATGAAATCAACAGGTTGTGACAAAACAGTTTTACTATTCTAAATTTCATAATAATGCATTCTAAAGAAATCACAGTTTGCTAATGAAAAGAGTTTAAAAGTGAAAACATTATTTTTTTTTCATGCTGCATGTATGTGCATGTGTGAGTTCTGATGCATGTGGGTGCATGTAGCGCCTGAGGTTGATATCGGGCGCCTCCTTTCATTTGCTATCTTGCATGGAAACAGCCAACCCCAAGTCCAGGGGTCCTTAAATTAGGAGATATGGAGAAAGTGGATTCTTAGGATGACATGATCAGAGGGGAAGGATTTGAGATGTCCTTCTAGGGGAGGTTTGTTCTCAGAGAAGGATTAGAAAGGGGTCCAGGTTCATGTAGTACGCTGGACTTGCTTACATCTGCCTGGGTGAGGTGATGGGCTGCCATGTTAGCATCTTGTAAAGA